CCCCATCAATTTAACCTCCTGAATTAATTTCGCTTCACAAATGAATCTGATGGTTGTTTAACCACTGTCTTTCACATTTATAGGTTTTACTACGCACGTGCTACACCAAACCCTCGCAATCCAGACCTACGGGGTGCACCAACATTCAAGCCTAAAAAATTTGGAGCTCAGAGTTTTGATGAATGTGTCCACTCAGGGGATCCACAGTGCACCTTCAAGACAGGAAAAATATACGACCTGTCCATCCCATACTTCTGTGGACACCACGGGTGGTGCATGTGAGTACCTGCTACTGGAAAGTATGCAATAATGCAGATTAGATTGTATGGTTGGGCATTAAGCGACACATGCACTGCGGTCACCTGTCATTTACTGTATGTTCCGTTTCTCTGATTATTCTTCTACAAGATCTTCACCTCAAATGCAACCACAGCCACCAGTAACCGGGGGGGGGGAGCCAGACATCTGTTCCACCTACATATCTAAAACAGTGAGGACTGGATAATACAGAAATATACAGCATATTAATACCACAGGATCTTGAAAAGATTGTGATGCCACCTGTGTTTCATCATCAGTAGTGTAGTTCGTTGCTGCAAGCCGGAAGGTTGCGGGTTCGATTCCTGATGAGGTCACTGGATTTTTCAATTGACCTAATCCTCCAGCCGCACTATGGCTCTGGGGTCGACTCAGTCTCTAACAGAAATGGGTACCAGGAATCTTCCTGGGGGTAAAGGACAGCCAGTATATAAGGCTGACAGCCTCACCGCCATCTGTGAGCCAGTTGTCTAGGAAATGTGGAAGCCTTGACGCCTCACAACACTGTGGGCCTCTAGGGCCTGTTACAGGAATAGCTTTACCCTTTTTTATTTTACTTATGTTTGAATATATAGATCCACAACTCAAGCTCTTTGTAAAAATATTCTTAAAAGGGATGAATGTTAAGTGTGTAAGCAGACTTTCTGGCACACTACTGAGGTGGCAGCCTTCCGGCAAACACCTCATTTCATGGAGTCCCAGATGACAGAACCTTAAGACAGTAGAGAACCAGAGCCAGACAAGCATTATGTGAGGCTGCTTCATCACTGTGATGGAACCTTTCACAAGCTGCCAGTCCCAATTTCAATAGGCGTCCTTCCAAGTGACAGCGTCCTGTAATTGTTCTGTCAATTGTCTAGAATGGTTCCTATTTGGTTCTAATAGTTCCCTTGTTCTAATGCTTACTACAAGTCAGTCCAGAACCTTTCGTCTTCTCGTCTGCTGTCTAAAAACATAAAAGCCAGAATATACAAAACCATAATTTTGCCTCTGGTTCTGTATGGGCATGAAACTTCATCTCTCACATTAACTCTTTCACTGGCGCGGGCGTGTTTTAACGCCCGGACGATGCCAGCTGTTCCCTGACGTTGGCGTGTTTTAACGCTTTGACAATCTCTTCCCTTCTATGCTCTCTTGGCACTCATCAACCAAAGACACATATATGATAGTTTTTGTGCATGTTTGTAAAGAACCCTTGTAAACTTTGTGTGGTTCTATATTACTATCAGAACCCTCTGAGAAGGAAAAGGTCAGAAAATATTTCACATTCATTCAGTTTCACCATGGCTTCTTGCAGCAAGTGTCTTCGTGTTCCTACAGACCAGCTGGAAAATGTTGTGAACGAGATTTGTTCTGATGATGATATTGGCGATGAAATAATGATTCCTGAATTGGATGAAGTTGATAGTGACAATAATACAGTGATAGACAATGATCCACAAGACAGTAATCATGAACATTTACCTACCACGAGTGAGGTGCCTGACACGCCCATCTCATGAACGTACGGAGACAATGTATCCCCAATATTTCCATTTGCTAATAGTTTCGGGATCAAAATTGATATAACACAT